AAATTAACTAGCAGACCATGAATCCATAATCGGAACACGCACCCTGAACAGCACATTATTTGGATTAATTACTTCAACAGACTTCATTTAAAAGGATTTGGGAATGCTTTTACAAGGTTTAGGAAGCATTTCATTAGGATTACATGATATGCAATTTTGAGTGTGCTTAACCCTTCACGTAAACTCTCTAGGCGAGCTTGTAATAGATCATGTCATCCACTGCTTATTTATTCTTATCCACAATTTTGTCACCATAAAGGGAATATCTTTGTAGTTCACTGCATACTTTCACCAATGCAAAGAAAAAAAGCTACACCTTAATGAGCGTTTCACTGCTGACAGGGTTTTTTTTGACTATTGGATTAGAAGAACATGGTATGCTTGTCCTCTGCACATTTCTGTTCTGTTTCCTTCTCAGTGGTCTGGGTTGCCCTGAGAGAAATATAACTCTAGCATTTGGTTTAAATATTCCAGTTAGATTAGTCTGTTTCTGCCATGTGAAATTGTTTCTTGCCAACTCCTTTTTCCAAAGCTTTGTCAATTGCAATTTTAACATATGTATTTCAAATGTGTACCAGCATTCTAGGAATAACACAATAATCCAATGGAGAAAATGTACATCAAACCAAGAGTTTGAGCAATTGGATGTTGGCAGCTCTACTCTTGCAAATTAATCTCATCAATTTTATGTCAAATGTCCTGCAACATTAACTGGTACCACAAGGCAGGGAATCAGGCTTGTGGTACAAGTTTTGGAAAACAGAACCAAAAAAAAAGAATATGTATGTTTTCCATAATTCTAGGAAACCTGAAATTTTGAAAAGAAATGTACCATTGATCTTTTTTTCTAATGAGATTATAACTGCAATAATATAATAAATATGTCAGTGAAAATATGAGCGTCCAGTTCTGAGCACACTATCATTCTCTTCTATGCTAATGTCTGAATGCAAATATTGCAAATGCATAAACACATCCAGAAATGGTACCTGAGAACACCACTGGGATATGCAACTGAGGCAGCTGTGCACATGGGTATAATAACAGGGGACAAATTTATGAGCATTGATTTGTTCAATTTCATTTTTAAAAATAGACTTTACTTTTCACTGTAAGTGACTTGCCATTAATTTCTGTATCTATTATAATAACACAGTAGAATGATGATTCTGTTGATGTAATACCAGATACAAGTAAAAAATGGCCTAATAATAAATGTCTGCCCGAGTGGAATTTATTTGCTTGTTTGTCCTTTAAATTTGAACATGTAATTACCAAATAGGAGAGACTACGTCTTGTGGCCACTGAATTTTTCAAAGTCAAAACACAGTGTGGACAACTCTTGATGGAAATCAGGTTGCCACAAAATGTTATATTCTAATAAAAAGCCCTGAAAGAAATTAAACCAAAGCTTTTATTGAGTACGCAATCCATCAGCCTCCTTTTAACATTTGCATCTTACAAAATGTGTCCCTGTAGCCCAAATAACTGGAAAGTGTAGTGTTGATACTCAGTGGCAACAACTGACACTTCCCGACTCAAAGAATTACTGTTATGAAATCAGCTAAGACGATTCTACTTACCACCCTGTAAAATGCAAGTAGTTTTACGTTTTTGTTCTTGACTGCACTAGCAATGTGATTAAAAAACTGTATCAGCAATAATTTTGCCCAACAGCTGCTGCCATTTATGTACTTGTACTTCATATCACGAAACAAAACACTCTGATTTACAGAGTTCAGCACTGGGCACTTGTTTCAAACTGTTAAAAGCGCCATTGTCTCTTACAGTGCTTTTACCTCTCTTCCCTTTGTTGCAAGGGAATAAGTTTTTCTTAAATAGTTTTCTTAATGTGAAAAAACTCCAAACTGTTATCAACTATCACCAAACACTTTAATATAATGGTCATGAATGATGGTTTGTAGAGCTCAACATGAGCGGGTATAAAACTGCAGGCAAAAAGTGAGTTACTGCAGAATCTCTATGAAAATAATTTGTTTACATGAGTAGAAAAAAGGAAAAAAGGGGGAGAGAACCTTTTAAAAGGTTAGTATTGGAGTTTCAGATATGTCTGCAGAATGAGATGCAGAATTTAAAACCTAGTCTGCTCTAACACACTGCACAAATCATCTGCTGAAAAATATCCAGTCATAAACTCCCTTATCATGAAATTCATTATATTTGATAATCAAATAACAGGAACTGCTGCTATCTGTAAGGTGCTTACATTCATAAGTGAATCCCTCCATGTGAGTTATGCACCCATTTCTGTCTTGGGAAAAACAGTGAGGCAGGACTCAAGGGCAGCAGAAAAATCAGGTTGATTTTCACATATTTTGGAATACGGGTGATCTCTCCCCTCTGATTAGTGAGTTTAAATTTTTGGCTAATGACTGCTTTATTTTTAAAATTTAGAATAATCACAGCAAAAAATATCACCGTGAAAAATAAGAAATGGAAAAGGGCTACATTTAGCAGCATACCCTAACTTCGAAATAACTGACTTCATAATTCAATTTCAGCAAACAATACTTCAACCTGATCTAGTGGCTGCCTTTGGGGGAAAAAACGTTCACCTTTTAGGAAATGAGAAGCATTTCACTCTGCCCTGCATAGACCTGAATATTCAAGGCATCAAACTTGATAAAAGCCTGGATATGGTCTGTTTACGTAAGAAGTAACTGTGAACTGAGAGATTTAGGCCAGTGTGAGTATACCTCAGGAGGTGAGCGTTAGGAAATGGGGTGTACTGTTCTATCTGCCAATACTAGTTCCCTCAAATTTCTTAAAACTTACAGAGTTTATTATTCTTACCTCAAGCGCAGCAGTGAAAAGAATCTTTTCCTTGTGTAAACAGACTTGGTCAACTTCCAAAACCTATTAAGTATTTAATCTGCTAAGGCTGAAATTAACTTCCAATTGTGCACGGAGTGAGTCTTACAAAACGAGGTGCTTGCAGAGGTGTTTTAAACGACAACAGGAATGCGGTGATAACTGATTAAGTATTTAAGGACGTTAGAAGTTCACACTTGAGAGCAAAATAAATAGGATATACCGTGTTTTCTCTGCAGTGTCTCGCAAAACAAAGCCTGTTGCTTAGTGTTCATATGGTTACCGCTCCCATCCATGAAGACGGTCCTCTAAGCTCAAACATCAAGTTGTGAGGAGAGGGCCGGGCCTGAAAAAAAGACGAGTCTCCCCGGAGTGGGCGGGTCCGTCATGGCGACAGGCGAGGAAACGGCTCGTCCCTTTCCGCTCCCCTCGCCGCCGCCCATGACAGGGACCGACCGGCCCCTGTCCCCCGCCCCGCGGTTGTGCCGAGCCTCCCTACGG